GTGTTGGGTTGGACTTCCTCAATGCTGATTCCGTCCTCCCTCAGCCAACATTTCTAATTGAAAAAAATATAAAAGATGTGAGATAAGAGCTTTCTATACCACACAACCTTCTCTGAGCTTAATTTGTTGACCATGATTCATGTGTTGCTATCTCTCCCTAATCATGCATAAAATTAGCACTTCTTTCACTATGCCCACCGCCGCACAAACTATATTGATTACTACTATCATGTAGGTTGCATATGAGGTAGTCTGTCTGCCTTCTCAGATTGTATTTAAATGCATGCAGTGATTATACTAATGATTCCATCGGGACAATTTTAGGACTCAGTGTTAGCAAAAAACTACTGAAATATACCATATTTGCATCCATGCAATGCTCACAAATGCAAAAGAAAATATACACACGAATGAGCATTGCAGAAGGAATGGCTTCTAGAGCTTTCCTGTTACAGTAGGGGTGATATCAGGAAATAGCCAACATTGTCTTCAGAGACAACCAAATGCTAACCATTCAATGACCTTATAGGCCAGTTGGACCACAATACCATAGAACTGCCTGCTATTTGAAGTAAAACTCTTGATAAAGGGGAGATGGCAATGACACCTGCACCCCCCCCCCCCCCCCCATCATTGCCTACATTTCCTACACCCACCTCCCCTCCCACTTTCATTGCTTTCCCATGGCCTACATCACTGGGTATCATGCAGATCTCTAGCAACCAAGATTCATGTTAGCAAAAGGTTGAAATGATAATAATTGCTTAAAAGCCATCAAAGCATTGGTAAAGTAACTACATTTCAAGGAGGGGCAGAGTTTTTGAAGATAGCTATGTAGCCCTCAAAATATGGATGCCCCCCAGATTAGCACACTCCTTCACAAACTTAACGTGGGGGGGGGGGGGTGTGGAGCCCTGAACTGAATAAGAAGTAGGAACATCCTGGTTTGAAGATCTATGTGACTGGTAACCATTCTCAATTAGGGCATGCGCAAAATGCCATAAATTTGTACTTCGGAACCATTATCACACTCCTGCTATTTATTCCCTTTCATGAGAAGTGCCATCAGACTCCAACATCAAATCCAAGGTTCTTCGAAAGTGAAGAAGGCTGGCCGCTTTTGACTGCTTCAAAGAGTCAACAGCCATTTCGGTGTCTTGAAAAGGCGGTTTGGATAATCACAGGTCAATTTCTACCTTAATCGGATCATCGGTCAGGGTGTACTTTCCTACCTAACGTTCGAAAAAATCATAGTACACTATTCGTCGTGTTTAAGGCATGGCATATCGTAAATAATCTCAAAACAGGTAGAATCATGCTCCTACCTTCGAATTTCAATAACTTCGATGGCGGGCTCCCGAGCGCCGCGCGCACCCGCAACCGCCTGGACTCCCCAGTTGCCGTTTCCGCGTTGCCGTTGCGTAAATACAATATTTCTTCTGCGCACCAAGAACTGTACAAAATGTACGGGACCAAAGTAAACCATTCGTCATGTTTAAGGCAGGACATATCGTAAATAATCACAAAACAGGTAGATTAATGATCTTAACTTCAATTTTTTATAATTACGATGGCGAGCTCCCGAGCGCCGCACACACACAGCACCCGCGACACCGGCGCCATTACTGCTCGGGTCACAACATTACTGCGAACCATAACAATGTACCGGGACAAGGTAGCAGAATCCATGAAATTTGATCCTCGACGCCAACGGGACCATGGGTTGCATGGGGATTGGGTGGGGAATGTAAAGCAAAATGAGAACATGGCAGCTAAATAAAAGCTCACTATATGGCACCTATATATGGCATGGAACGTGGATTGCAATGAGATGCTGGGTTGAAGGGGATATAGGGTGGGGAGGTTAGTGGTTTAGGTTCGGTTAGATTAGGTTAGGTTTAGGTTAGGTTAGGTTAGGTTAGGTTAGATTAGGTTAGGTTAGGTTAGGTTAGGTTAGGTTAGGTTAGGTTAGGTTAGGTTAGGTTAGGTTAGTTAGGTTAGGTTAGGTTAGGTTAGGTTAGGTTAGGTTAGGTTAGGTTAGGTTAGGTTAGGTTAGTTAGGTTAGGTTAGGGGTTAGGGTAGGTCAGCTTAGCTAAGCTTAGGTTCTGGTCTATTCTCAGGTTAGGTTAGGTTAGGTTAGGTTAGGTTAGGTTAGGTTAGGTTAGGTTAGGTTAGGTTAGGTTAGGTTAGGTTAGGTTAGGTTAGGTTAGGTCAGGTCAGGTCAGGTCAGGTCAGGCTAGCTTAGCTTAGCTTAGCTTAGGTTCTGGTCTATTCTCGTTAGTTAGGTTAGGTTAGGTTAGGTTAGGTTAGGTTAGGTTAGGTTAGGTTAGGTTAGGTTAGGTTAGGTTAGGTTAGGTTAGGTTAGGTTAGGTTTGGCTAGTTGAGGATATGTTCTGGACTATTCTGGTCTGCGTGTTTCATAAATGTACCTGAACTCGATAAGAAACGATTTTGGTTGCTTTATTATTGTTACCTTGGTCCCGTACATGTTTTATGGTTCTTGATAAGCAGAAATATTGTGCTTTCGCAACAACGCAGAAACGGCGCTTGGAAGTCGAGGCAGTGCGTGCGGCGCTCGGGAGCTCGCTATCGTATTTATTAAAATTCGAGGGTAGGAACATGATTCTATCTGTTTTGAAATTATTTACGATATGTTCCGCCTTAAACACGACGAATGGTTTACCTTGGTCCCGTACATTTTGTAGAGTTCTTGGTAAGCAGAAATATTGTATTTACGCAACGGCAACGCAGAAACGGCGCTGGGGAGTCCAGGCGGTGACGTGCGCGCGGCGCTCAGGAGCCCGCCATCGAAGTTATTGAAATTCGAAGGTAGGAGCATGATTCTACCTGTTTTGAGATTATTTACGATATGTGCCGCCTTGAACACGACGAATGGTGTGCAATGATTTTTTCTAACGTTAGGTAGGAAAGTACACCTACACCGGATCATCCCGCCGACTTACCCTGAACCGTCAATTTTTCTCGTCGCTGAGGACAGGATGCTGAATCACGGCACAGGCAACGAAGTAAACAGGGCCAGAAATTAATCCCTAGGCAGGTATTCATGGCACTGCAATGCGAATGCCACTTGCACAGTTGCAGTGCATTGAAAGTCACCGCTCACCTCATGTCAGTCGCATCGCAACAATTGAACACGCCCTTGCGATCAAATGGATCCCCATATCTATATCTGTTTCAGTACTGTACACTGTCTAGTTTGGGGCACTGTGAGTCGGCTGTCAAAAACAGCGAATCAGCCGACTGGCCGAGCCATATGAAATACATTGATTTGTCGCCGACATGTCACCGAGCCGGCCGACCAACTAAAATCATAGGATATTTTTTCGCCGAGTTGGAATGAAACCTAGGAAAGATACCAGGGTGCCGTAGAGTACGGTAAAGAATCGTTACAGAAACGTTTGCTTGTGTTGTGTTACGAAATGTATTACCATGGAGGCATAGCATTTGTGTATGAAGACCCCACGCTATGTTTTGAATAGTGTACTGTATTTTTTCGTCTTGGCCGTCAGCAAAATTTGCTGTCCAAAACATTTTTGGCACCAAGTTTCTTGTAAGTATATGCATTTTTGTCGCCGACCTTATCCACCAAGTCAGCAGGTTCTACCACCCCTGCTTAGGAGGTTCTGAAGCGTAAAAGGAAGAAAGCGTGTTAGAATTAATGAAGCGGATGGCGAATGCAAGCTCACGATTCTCCCAATTCATTCAGCTTATATACTGCAAACCAGCTCGGTGACAGCTTATATATTGCAAACCAGCTCGGTACTCGGCTACGCTGTTCAGATGATGAATCAACAGCGCCCTTAAGCGCGACACGTGCGCAGTGTTTTGCATGACGCTTGGCAGGCAGTTGAATACATTCGGTGCCAACGTTCGTTTCTTTACTTCATTTTTACTTGCAACCAGGTGTGCGGTTCCCTGTCAAGTTGCAGGGGTTCGCCGCAACTTGGGCTGCAGCCTGCAGATTTGTGAAAGAGTGAGGCAAATTCGGAGAGAAACCAATTTTGTCGGCATATTATCACGATACGCTTCTTATTTTCATCGCTCAGCCAACCAACTTATGTTGGTAAACCACGCCCCGTTTAAAACGTACCTAATTGAAGAAACAAATTGTTTGTAGGTTGGGCCATTTAACATGTCTCACCAGGGAGTAGTATCCTGACTCAGCTAATGAAACAGACCCCACCCCCTCTCTTTGAGAATAAAAACATGTAAAATTCACAATAAGTCCCGTCTGCAGGAGTGTGTGAAAGACTTTGCAATTGAGAGGAGGGAGGGGAAACGGACAAATAAAATCACTAACAATATAGGTTAGCGTGGCAGAAGCTGGATATCTATATGTGCGCCAACCTAGATATCAAATCAGGCAGCGTCACACATCAGTCATCAATTCCTTTAAAAAAATGAGTTGCGAAACATCACCGACACATACAGGTCATAACCGAACCAAACAACCGCGACTTATTTCATCCATAGCCCTTATTACCAAATAGCAGGCACCCCGACAAGTACTTTCCACGATTACCGTGCAGCTACTGCCGAGTAACCAGCTATTTCCGATGCCACGAGAGAGGGGTCAAAGTTTTGAATTGTTTAATGCGCCAGCGGCCAAGCACGTGCGGACGCGGCAAAGTTCGTGTGCTGAAACAAAACGTTGTCCATATCCATGCATAGTGGTTGAACTGTGCAGCACTCTGCCGCATGACGTCTCTGGGTCTCCTCTGTCCAGGGATATTGGACGGTTTTTGGATGTTGTGAACGCTGGATGCTGCGATTCTGGACTTTTTGACCGCTGGACGTTATGAGCTCTGGACGTTTCAATACGCATCCATACGCACACAGGCAACTGTCACAGACACGAACGTGTCTAACAGTCACCCTACTATGAACAAAGTACGTGCAGCCACCAGCACCATGCGAAGTAGCGTTCCGTCTGGTTTTCAGCGCCGGCCGGCACCGCCGTCCGCTGGATACCGACTTACCTGCGCACATACGGGTGCCGTGGCCGAACGGGATGTGCAGGTACGAGTGGATGGCCTTCCTCTGCTCGCCCAGCCAGCGCTCAGGACGGAAGTCCTCCGGGTCGGCGAACCACCTGGCTGAGCGTAGCTGCACCGACTGGTTCAGGTCCACGTGCGTCTGGCGGACGGCTGGTGTTGAATTGTCAGCTAACAACTAGTGATACATGGGTCTGATGGGTTGGAATAGTGACCGGGGGATCAAAGTGTGCGTAACGCAGCTAGGGCGGACTTTTCAGCGCACCTTTCGTCAGCTTCCCATTCCCTCTTTCGTATATAGACGGGGGTTGGATGTTCAGAAACGGGCAGTGGGCTGGAATCGCTTTTAACTAGGGTGGGAGTCAAGAATTTTATCGCAAAAAGACCGTACAGGAGTGAAAAATTCAACTTACAAAAGTTGGAACTTATAAGTCAGTGAGAGATGCTCCAGTAAACAAAGACATACATTTCAAGTTGGCATCGATGTAATATCAGAAACACTACAAACACGTTTTGACATCGTAGGTCATTACAGTGAAACAGAATTCATTGAAAAATAGTAATTTTCATAAAAGTGTAATGAACAGCAAAAACCATGCAGCACCAACGTTTTGATGGTGCATGTTGCACTTCCCTTTCACAAGATTTTTTAAAACACAAAACAAAGCAAAGGAATTCAACAACAGAAAGGACGACCACAAATTCAACAAGAGACATTCAAACAACTAAAAACCTCGGACTCCTGCACATCAGCACATCACCAAATCAATTGTCACAGACATATCTATGGCTTCTGTTTGAGATAGGGTCAGGAGATATAAACATCATGAAACATATCCATGCCGTCCGTTTAGATAAGGTCAAGAATGATAAGTATAATGTCACTGTTTATTGCAAAATACAGATGCTTATTTCCATGAAAGTAACCTTACTAAGCCTAACCTAAAGAAGCCTTACGTTATCTCATCCTGTCTAAGTTTCTTGTAACTTGATACGAGTTCTTGTGATAAGAACATGATAAAGCTTATTTTCGGCTGATTTCAACTTGTGTTTTGCTTCGTCAGCTTGTTGACATCAGACAAAACTGACAACGCACAATTCAAACCCTCTCAAAGCACTGTGAAAAACTTGTTCTGATTGGCATGGTTAGTCTCTGCCAAGGGCAATAGTGGGTACGCTCCACAAAACACTATCCTTCAAACGTAACCTAACTTGAAGATGGCCACAAAACCATTTTTTGCTACTTGCCTTTTCAGCTGCTGCGAAAACATCCATTTAGGTCTTGTTTTTCATATTGAACGCCTTAAAATTGAGGCACTAGCTTCACACCTTTAATGAAACAGTCGATTTGCTAAAAATTATATCTACCTCGTATTGCAATTGATATGCAGCTTAGAGTACTCGTGCGTTGAAAAATACAATGCACATCAACAGTACAGTCATTTGCCAGTCAGCAAACCATGGCAACTATGGACAATATGTTGTTAAAGCAGACATAAGGGACCATTTCAACAAACTTGAGGCAAACAATAAAGAGTATGGAATATAATAGTTTAATTACATGTCTTGTGCAACATTATTTGTCTTATGAACAAAACCCGGCGAATTAAAACAGAAAATGACTAAATCTGGTCACAAATCATGTGCTGAAGGCAGGTAAGGTTAGCAATTAGTTGCTCCACAGGGAAAACTTACGGGCTTTTTAAGGGCATGATTCTTTCTGCTCTTTCCCCCCCCCCCCACGACACACAAAGGTCAGTATCTTTCGCATGGTTTGCTGACAGGGCAATCCAATCCACCAGCAAAATGTAAAAACTAATCATGCCCCCTGACCTACAACATTAAAATGTGAAATAAGTAAGAGGAGGTTTGCAGTTTCGAAGGGCAGAATTTCCCTACCATGCACTTCTGTACTAGCTGCACCAGGTCCGTCCTAAAGCTATGTACAGCAGGATAATGTAGCGTGGTGAGGTAGTGAAACTGGAGTGTCTTAGATTTGGCATTATTGAGCACCGCCATGAACCACAAAATGACTAACGGAGGGATTAACAGGGCACAGATGGCGGTAAAAATAAGCTCCGTATTTGAGATATCGCTTACACATGAGTGACCTCAACACCGGTGACGCCTGCAAGGTAGTGGCTGCCTCTTATCAAAGGCACTGCTAGACATTTGCTAAGGGAAGGGCCAACCCGAGGGGTTCTACATTTGAGGCATTTCTATCACAAATACATTGTTTTCCTTAGAAAGTGCCTCCGAAAGAATTTCTGTTGTAAGGACTTTTAGACAGCCCCCAAACTGGAAGAATTTGTCATGGCAAAGAACCTCAGCAGGGCTCTTGCCGTTCATTTAGGGGGCACTCCGGGCATTTAAGTGGACGACTCAAGTTCCGTCAGCCCGTGCCCTGGCTGCGCCTTTGTCTCCACGACGGACACTTGGAAACAAGGACAAGGCTAGAATCGGGAACATGCCGCGAGTGCGTGAATTCAAACGAGGATATGAATCCCCGGCAACCTCTTCTACCGCATGCTTTATTTGACCACGAACTTGGGCGTCATGATCATGCGTCTTTGCCCATGCTTCCTTTGTCGCTTCGCTAAACACTCAACGTTTATTTGTGCCTGCTTATAACGGTCTTGCTTGGTGCTAAATCACTTGACCAATGGACGGCATGGCCTGGCATTCCAATAGGCAGGAACCATTCGCTGAAACGTTCGCCGCTCTATCTTTGCAAACAGCAAACTATGCAAACCTTCGTGGCGGAGCCAGAGCCGCAGTCTGTCGTTCACGGTTGGTTGGGAATTGGACTGCGATGCCAGCAGTCTATAGCTACCATTCGCTTCTAGCACATTAATCACCGTACGCTCATTGAACTGTGGTCACATAATGTATGCACCAATGTTGTGGAACGTCCAAAATGACTAGCACAAGGTTGAAGGTTATACGATAGTGGAGATTTAGCGACTTTCCAGCAGTTACAAGGAGGGGTCAAAGCTTGGAACTGCGGCGTACCGCGCGCCTGAAAGGAAAGGAACGCCATGGCATCCACTTTGACCATTGATTACTGAAACTTGTGGCATTCGTAAGGGGTCACCGATAACGTAGGGCCTAGTGGAGTACGTACCCCTGCAGGAATGACATAGCCACCCAGCTCCATGTCTTGATCCGTAATGCGCGACACCTCCGTGCCGATGGGGTACAGTCTGAAATAGGACCAGAACCGGCATGTACCGCTGGGTGTGTGCGCAGTGCGTTTTCGCTCAGACCTGTTCCAATGGGTACGTACGAGTGACGTGGCCGTCACGTTGCAGCGGATGTGACTATACTCTAATGCGCTGATGACTGCCAGGCGCTGCATTGCTGTAAGACCTGGTGTCTTTCATTCACGTGCTAGTCGCCAGCATGCGCGTCTGCTTCTTGGCCTGCGGTGAACTATGCCTGATATTCAGGCACCGGGCTAGTTCCTCCCGCTCTGCTCAATCTCCTGATTCCTACGACCGACCTTTCAGGCAACTGCTACTGGCCTGCACGAGGGCCTTGCAAAGTATATCCAACAAGTTCGCCATGACGCCGCGACGGGGCCTGACCAAACCACAGTATTGTACGCCAATGGAAGTGTCTTTCAGAGAACACCTCTGACACCTTGTGACGAAGTATGTTAATATAAAAGGCTGAAGGTCGCAGGGCGCGGGAAAGGTGTGTTGCCCTCGAGCCCACCCTTGCATCTGATGCACTCTGCCCGTGCTTTCAGTGACATGCATTTAGCCCATGTGTAAAAGCCGTTGGGTAGGCGACGCTCGTGGTATTCACCCTATGCTAATGATGGGGCTAACGCAGGTTTTGTAATGTTCATTTCGTTTTTTGCCAAATCCTCTGAATCCTCGTGAGGTTGTCATAAACCTTAGTTTCGCCATCCGTCAAACGCTTTTGAAGCCTATTTACAATATACAGCTGTTACGCAGCTCTATGCAAGTCGAGGGCGATGCAGCAAGGGCGAAGGAGGGCAGTGAGATGACTGTCCTCTGTCTGCCGGCAGGAGGACGATAGTATGTGTTTGTCGCCCTAATTTAGGGAGGGCCCTTCTACCCAACCTGAAGTTATGTAGTTACACACATATCAAAATTCAGGTCAGTGAGGCCCCGTGGATTAGGCTGAGCTTTGAGGTCCCTATTTGAGTTCAGGGGCCTCTTTTATGCAACAACAGGCCCCATTTTTAATCAGGAAGCCTCAGTTTGAGCTAGGCAGGTTCTGCTCTGAATCAGTAGGTCCCGTTTTCTGTTAAGGTTTTCTGTTTCTGCTCATTATACCCGTTTATGAGTCATAAGGTCCCTGTTCCGGATTAGGAGGCACCCTCTATAAATAGAGGCCCCTGTTCTGGATCAGGAGATCCCTTTATGTATCAAGGGACCTCCTGTTCCAGAACGGCCCTGTTCCGGATTAAGAGACCCTGTGTTGCAATAAAAAAGTACATAAGGTCGTGATCGTTCCACCTCGGGAAATATATGTAGCAATGACGGTTCATTTTTTGCCTGCACTCTAATGGGCGGGTTTTTCTACACTCCCCAAAGTTCCTTATCAGACATAATGGCCGCACCACATATGCTGGAACTGGAAGCTGAAACTGGCGCGTCAAGACATCTACCATGGCGTGGAGGGCCTTCTAGCTCTCCTGGACGAACAACTGACCAAGGGCCCGTAGGGCATTCGTACACTCTGAGACATCACGGGCGACTGGTTAGGATACGTGTTTTGTTTGTTGGCCTGTTCCGCTTTTTTCATTTGGCCTCTGCTCCTTTTGACTTTTTCTTGTTTGACCTTTTGCAATTAACTTTTATCCCGTTCAGCTGATTCCTATTCGACTTCCCTCCATTTGACTTCGTGTGATTTGAGTTTTTGCGTTTTGATTTTTTTTTTGTCCTAGAACTATTTCAAAAGCATGCAAAGCATCATTTCTGATTTTGAAAAATATGATTGTTTCAAGAGGCTCTATCTATAAGAAGCCCCACTTATGCGCGAAAATCCGTAACCATTTTCATTCAAATTCATTGCATTTTACTCCGAGCATTAATTTCCATTAACAACAACACTCCAAGCGTTACTTCCAAATTCCAATGTCTCGCGACAATCCCCAAAGAGTGTTTATTTTTTTAGCAAGTTATCTGGTAAGGACCCAGTGTAATGACCCCGCGGCATTTGCAAACTCAGCATTTGTGTATCCATTATTACGCATTTGACGCAAATGGTCTAGCTCCCATCGAAAGTACTCCACAAAGAACAATATATCAAAGCCCTGCGGATGTAAGCCCAAATGATTCCTTTCTTATATGTTTCTGGAAAATGTCCCTTCCACTCATGCATTTACTCTGGCTGGTGGCTTTTCTGTAAGCATCTGCCTGAAATGTACCATCTGATGAGTCAATCAGAAGGTCTAGAAATGGCAATTGGCTGTTCACACTAAGACTGATAGTGATTGGTCCATTTGGTAATGCTCAGTGTCAGAGAGCAAACTGTGATCCTGATATTACCATTATATTGTCAGAGTATTTTTAGTCACATTACTGTTGCCATCATATCCTTTGTATCTGTCGGTAGGCGGCCGGAATTTGATCAAATTCTACATCCGAACACTATCTTTTATTCGATGTAGCAAATCTATCGGAAATACGGCGTTCGCTGCAATGATTGGATACCTGCAAGTCGTGGGGTATCTTTCGTTCCAATGCTGCCGTCGTAACAGAAAATGACACCGTGTTGTTATGGTTTATCCTAAACGCCACTGCAGCTTTGGGACGAAGGGATCAAACCACTCATCAGCCAACAGGGAGCCTGAAAGTACGGCTTGGACTCCGAACCTAGTGCAGGGTCGAAACATTTTTAACAGCCCTTTTGCACTGAAACAGCGGAACCCTTGAACGCGAGCATACCTCTACCAAGACCGCTGGGCATGACTAATGAGCGACACAATGCCTCCCCTAACTGGTTCTTGAATGGATCTCGCTTACTGCTAGGACAAGTCCTAGACTCACCTCAGCGTCTCCTTCAGCACGGCCTTGACGAAGGGCAGCCTGCTAATGACGTCGGCCGTGACCTCCTGGGCCTCGCCGCCGGGCAGCGCGGCGGTGATTTCGCTGTGCAGGCTCTGCTGTGCCGCTGGCGTGTGGGCCAGACACCACAGCGCACACAGCAGGGCCGGCACGGTCTGTCGTGGGACGAGCAGTGACGATGGCACGAGCAGCCAGCACCAGTCGCAGACACACTCCAGCCATACGGAAGGTGGGACCACTAGCGATACTCGTCGACAGTCATTGTAATGTTGGTGTTGCTGAACGGAACAGGGATTCACAGAAAGTCGGTGTACGAAAGATATATTTGGGAAAAGAAAAAGGTGCTGTAGTAGCATCTGCTGATCAGTATTATGAGTTAAAGCCTCAAATCCGCCATGTATGTTTGTAGTCAGGCGCATTTTAACCCATTGCAAAACGCATTTTACATTGGGTAAGATCATTACTGTTTGGCCGCAAAGCCATGAATGATGACAACTGACCGTAGAGAGTCCGTCGTTGAACATAGAGTATGCTATTATGAGCACGTCCTTCCTGGACACTTTGGGCCTGGTCATCAGAAAGCAGAGAAATTTGTACTGGCCGTCTTGCAGCTTGCCTTCCTCAGCCAGCTTTTCAATTTCGCTGATGACATTGTCGAACAGCTCTATTGTGACGCTGAAAAGGGGAAGTGCCGTTTCTGCAGGAGCTCACTGACATTTTACCCAGGGTATACGAGAACGTGACTGAAAAGACTAGGCGTTAGGGTACAAGCAGCCGTAGTGGAGGGCAAATACAAATGAACAACCAAACACAAGAAGAAAAAGAACAAATGATCAGAAGTAAAAGTGGGCTATTGAGAGACAAACTGTTGAGCGCGACACAAGTCATCGAGCAGAGCCTATCGACATCATCGCGCGCCGACTGGTCCACCTTTTCCATCTTGAGAGCGGCGCGCCATGGCGACTCCAGATACGGCATAACCCACGCCGCATTCCGTGGCGGCCTGCCAGTGACGGTGAGCTCGGCGGCTCGCCCAGCAGCGAGACGGACAGCCACACCTGCTGAAGTGGCGCTCAGCAGCAGCCAGCTGCCGCCAGCCGGGCGTGCTGACGTATCTGTAGAGCGGCAGCGAGAACTTGAGGCGGCCTCCGACCTTCGCCACCTGGCGGTTGGCGGCGATCAGCTGCTCGGCTCGCCGCTCGTCGGCGCCACCAGATAGCGCGCCGAAACGCCGCTCCGCGCACACGTGCGTGGCCGCTGTCGGCGCGCGGGGTCCGGTCAGGCCACGCGGTGGTGGTCCCCATTCGCCAGTATTATTGGTTTGTTCTGTGCACTCGGTGATATTACACGCAAGTGGGATGTCAAGTCGCAACATTATTGCGAGAAATGTACCATTCAGCACGCATCGCGCTCAGGAAAGTGGAGCGACAATCACTTATGTCCTCGCGATAGATGTGCACAACAAGCGATGTGGTCACCAACAAATTTACAACAGAGCTAAATGAGGCTCAGTGCCTTGTAGGGACCGGAGGGGCACTCCACGCCAGCATGGCACGGTGGGGAAGGCTACCTTGCCTTCCTCGAGACGCGGGGTGGAGGATCGGTCCAGCGTTGCCGTTCTGTGCTTTTTGGCCGATAAGTTCATGGATGTGTGATATCACCAAATGATTGTTTTTAAACGCTGTGCGTCTCAACCCTGCGTCTGCTTTTCAGACCCTGACGTACGCACAGCTTTCTTTTGTCTCGTGGGAGTTCGAGCCTTCACGTTTATAGCCTTCTGCACACCATGTTGCTGTCAATTGATGGAGGAGGGGGTAAAGAGAACACGCCGGTAAGCAATATAGAAAGCGTGGAGAGCAAGTATCAAAGTACAATGACAAAAAACAGTGTTTTTTGGCGTATTTTGGCATAACATCTTTTGCTTTACTGATCCGAATAAGCGAACCAAAGCATTACTTGACCACATCGAAAACCTGAGAGGCCCAAGATCGTTGTCGGCATCCATAACCATAATTTTAAGGGGTTTGGTCATTGCAAGGCGTGACTATTGATGCACTCTAATTGATGATGCAGTTCAATAACCCTCGGAAGTTATAGTGAGCTACCCGGGACGTGCAGTTTTCGAAGGGTTAAGAATGTGATTGACGTTCCGGGATTGAATGAATTCGTATTGAACCGCTTAATGCGAAAGAAACGAAGCACACAATTTTGGCCAACTTTATCGAAACCGCTGTGAGTGCGCCCTACGGCCATTTGTCGATGGGCATTTCTAACTCAACAATACTGCTCAGGTCAGAGCAATAACTTTCAAGCAGCTGTGTGCGTCCAGTGAGCTAGAATCGGTTTTGACCTAGCGTGGGAATAGGTGTGTGAAAAATTTCATCGCAAAAAGATCGTACGGGAGTGAAAAATTAAATTAAACAAGTGGAACTTATGAGTTAGTGGGAAATGCTGCCGCAAACAATGACATACATTTCAAGTTGGCATGGAAGTAATATCACAAACATGACAAAATGCTCTTGTTTTTCGACACTGTAGGTCATTGCAGTGAAATAGAAAACATTAAAGAATAGTAATTTCACCATAGCGTAATAAGCATCAACAACTGTATAACATCAATGTTTTGATGCCGCACTTTTTACTCCCCTTCCAAAGAATTTTCTTAACGCAAAACAAAGCAAATAAATTCAACGACAAAAACAGCAAGAAATTTAACGGGCATAAAGCATTCAAACAAAAACACCTTGGACTCCTGTACATCAATGCATCAACAAATCAAACACAACATACTGCTGGCTTCTGTTGAAATATGTTCAGGAAATATCAATATTATGTCGCTGTTACTTGCAAAATACCAATGATTATTTCTATTTAAGTAACTTTACCAAGCCTAACCAAAAGAACTTTTACCTCACCTCATCCCGTCTTACGTGTTTGTATCGCAGCAGCCTTTGTGAGTCACTGATTCTTGTAAAATTCCTTCTGGTACTTGCCGTGTAATTAACCAACTTAGCCTAACCTACAATAGCCTATATTTTAAACATCATCTCAGCTTAGCTCACCTATTTCTTGACAGCAGCAGTTGTGATAAAAGCATGATATAGCTCATTTTTTACTGGTTTAAGCTTGTGTTTTGGTTCAATTCATCTGTGTCAGCTTGTTGACACCAGACAAAGTTGACGACACACAAATGCAAACCTCTCAATTCACTTTGAATAACCTAATCTGCTTGTCGTGGTCAGCCTCTGTCAAGGAAAATAGTGGGTATGCTCCACAAAACAACCGCTCTTCTCCAAACATAACATAACTTATAGATGGTCACAAAGCCAGTTTAGCTGCTTGCCTTTTCAGTTGCAGTAAAGGCATCCATCTAAGTTTGGTTATTCATACTTATTGACTTAAAGGTTGAAATGTTAGCTTCGCATTTTAAATGGGATGGTCTGACTATTTGCTGAAAGCTAATACCTACCGCGCATTGTAATTATGCTATGCAGATTAGAGCATTCATGTGCTAAAAAGTGCATATATACAGTACAGTAATTTGCCAGACAGCAAACCATGGCAGCCATGAACGACATCTTGTTAAGGCAGACATGAGGGACCATTGCAACAAATTTGAGGTAAATAATTAAGAGTATGGAATACAATAGTTTAATTGCATGTATTCGGACATCAGAATTTGTCTTATGAACAAAAACTTGATGGATCAAAACAGAAAATGGCTAAATCTGGTCACAACTCATGTGTTAAAAGCAGGTATGGTGGGCAGCTAGCTGCTCCACAGGAGAAACTTATGGCTTTTTAGGGGGTAAGCTTCTTTCTGCTACCCCCCCCCCCCCCTATACATAAACAGAAAGGTAGCATCTTTCGCATAGTTTGGTGACAGACAGGGTGATCCAAACCACCCACAAAGTATTAATAGCAGTCATGCCCACCGTCCTACAAGACAAAAATTCGGAAAAGTAGGAGCAGATCTGCATGAGAAAACACAGTTTCGGAGGGCAGAATTTTGCTACCGAACATTTCTGTATTGGTTGCGACAGGTCTGTCCCAAAGCTTAGATTTATCGTTCTTGGGTACCGCCATGAAAAAACGGCTGTCTAGGGGTATAACAGGGCGACAATGTCGGTTAACGTAAGTTCCGTGCATCATATTATCTCTTTCATTCCTCATGAATTGTTCGCTTTTGGATACATATCAAATACGTTTGGGCGGCAGGCGAATGAATCCAATTTCTGTATGAGATATGCGCAAGATTGCAGTTGGCACATTTTGCGGAGAAATTGGTCAACGTTTTAAGCCATAGATAGTGCCGTTAAAGACAATCGGAAAGAAAGGAAAGATGAAGTCATGCCGCACTCGCATCAGTCCAAGAAAACAAACTAATTAAAAATATGAAGCACTACAGTTTTTCGGTCAAATTTGCTGAATTTTCCACTCCTACATTTCGGGAGTGGTGAAATTTAGTGGTCAAGTTTCTTAGGGGTAAAAGAAATACATGGAGTAAAATTATCTTCCAGACTTTACTGGTGCTTGTACCAGGCTTTGCTTTGCTGGTAGGATGTTTGTGTGGTGCGACCCCCCCCCCAAAAAAAAAGGGGATGTGTGAAAACCTTGCATTTGGCACACAGCTGTAAATTGTTTTCAATGATGTAAACAAACCAATTTTGATGCATGCAAGCGGCTGTAGTCGCTGGGGCTCTCAGGCTCGGAGATACCTGGTGCCCTTGCTCTGTGCATATATCGGCATGATTCAGATGTACGCGAGGCAGGTTGTAGCAATAGATGTACAGGTTCGGTGAGGCCTCAGGTTTATGCCTGATGGGTTCAAGTGAGCTCGGTTTTCGATGCCATCTTAAAATCTCTGAAAGGGAAATGTAGGTTTGGTATGTGTGGTTAGACAATATCAAGTAGGAGTGAAAAATTCCCATAAAATATAGGAAAAAGGAGTGGACAATTCCTCCTTATAAGGTGTTGCTTTACACCAAAAGTCGGCAATTCTAGAACGCTGCGTGCATCCGCGGGAAACATAGTTTAGGTTCCATCCAACAGATGGCAGCTCAAGTCGCCAGGAGGCCTGAGTCCAGACCATCCAGACATTCGCTACCTGCCATCCCAGTACGGTCTGACTGTGCTCGGCGAGGCAGCCTTTAAATCAGAGGTCAGATATGCCATATCGGGTGAGCTTTTTCAGGACGGTGCACGATCGAGGCATCCAAACGTCTTGAACAGGTCGAGCAGTCAGAGCAAGCAGGGCAGATCGATCTGTTCTTAATCTGCTTTTTCCGAGCGCATCTGACCAAGTCAATCAAGGTGTCCTTTACCAAGTGATATTCAGAGCACACTGCACTATTCAGGTGTCTTCCGTCACGTGATAGGCACGGTAGGCAGCACTGTCGAGGTGTCTTCTGTCAAGTGATAGGCAAGGTAGGTAGCACTGTTGAGATGTCTTCCATCAAGTGGCAGGCACAGTAGGCAGCACTGTCGGGGTGTCTTCTGCCAGGTGATAGGCAAGGTATGTAGCACCGTCGAGATGTCTTCCGTCAATGATAGGCACGGTGCGCAGCACTAGCCCCTTACAGCAGCCTTTGCTGCTTCTGCAGCTGTCCTCCACTCGCACACCAATCGCTGTCTACCAACACACACGTCGATACGCTTAATAATGACTGTAGCGTGACGACGAAATCGATGCGCCTGAAAACACCAGCCATTATCACCACCACGGCCGGCGGCCGCTCCCAAACGCGTGCAGCACTCACACTCGAGGCCCCACTTGAAGATGAGCGGTGTGAGCTCTGGCACCTGCCCAGTGTCGTCCAGGTCGCGGTCCACTCTGTCCACGAGGGCGCGGGAGACTGTGTCGACCAGAGGCAGAAAGCAGCTCACCTCCCTGGGCCGCATCATCAGCTGCTGCACCGCGCTCCGCAGACGGTACCAAGCCTCGCCGTTGCTGTGGCAGATATGAGAGTTAGCTGAGCAGCACTGGCTAGAGTTCCGTCGGGTATAGGCTTCAGTAACAGGTAGCTAGTTTCAGTCTAGTTTTGAGCAAGCGACGAAAGCCGTTAAATGTGGCACGCTGCCTTGAAAGTTAAGTCTTCGCATGAAGTTTAGATGTTAGCGCAGTTCAGTTGAACAATATGAGCCGAGAGTTTTAAATACCGATAAGAATTGACCTAGTGTGCCAGGAGGTGCTAGTTAGATAACGTTATCTGGCAAGTCCTTGTTCTAGTGACAAAAGACGAGGCTTCAAACTGTGCTCATGGTCATGAGTGGCTCGTTGACTCGTGACTATGCACACGGCTTAAAACGTAGATCTTTGCCAATGTAACCATTGTTTGCCTATATCACGTCGCTTAGCCAGCATCTTTGGGTGTATGAAAGTTTGATTATTGGTAGCTAACTCAACAGAAACTCGCAATTCAAAATGTCGAGAAAATAATCTAAAGTCCAAGCTTTCTTGCTCATCTAGAGCTTAGGCGGACGTGGAGCTCGATGAGCACCGAAGTGTTTGTCCTTGGTATCACGCCGTGAAATCTTGCGCAGAGTTCAACTGCTCATTGATGCAATGCACTAAGTAGGCTGGGCATTATTCCCTCTCTGATCTGCAGTGAGCACTACAGGCGTCATCACCTAATGTCTGTGTTGGCCGACACCAAGCGCGAACACCGGCGGTTCGAACCAGACTCACGTGTTTCCCAGTCCCAGACTCATGTTGTTCTTCTGTCGGTAAAGCAGAACCAACTCTTGAAGCGGCGGCACTGCGGGATACTTTCCCTCTTGCTGGTGCACCTGCCTGATGGAGCGAAGCGCAACCGTCGTGCTTACTTGGTGACGACACCGCCCATGATGACAGGCGTCGATAGGTGTGGGTCACAAATAGTCACAAATATACACACACATATGTATATATATATATATATATATATATATATATATATATATATATATATTGTTATATTGTATATATATATATATATATATATATATATATATACATATCACTATATGTTGACTTCTTTATTTATTTATTTAATCTGGCCAGATGAGGCCTCGCTGAATGATTCTAATCACGGCGCAAAAGTTTATTTTCCCTATCGACTTTGGGCTGGGAAAAGGGCAGCTACCCTAACAATATTCGGAAAAATAAACGTCATACCGTTATCCGGCGTTACATCACATGGCGTATCGTCAAATGGAATTATCCGGAAAAAGCGAAATTGTGAAAAAATCACCCAAGCAAAAATCATCCCACTTCAAGCCACTCAGAGAACGCGTCGCCACTGCTTCCGCGATAAATTTACTAAAGCGGAGAACGGTCTGGTGCGTAGGCTGCCGCTGCACAGCTGATGGTGACCTCGGAGAGGTCTCGCGACCCACCTCACGAGGTCTGGCTCGAACAGGTGCACCACGGTGCTGGTGCCAAACCTCTCGCGCACCACCGGCCCGTACTGCTCGTACATGCTGCGCAAAGCCTCGTGGTACCGGTTCACGTCGTAGCGTCCTGCAAGTACGGTGGCGGTCACCGCGGTCTGCAGACGCTCATAACTGGCAGCAAAAGTCAGACGGCGGCATAACTGCGACACTTCGTCGTTCTTGTCAAGCCGGGCCATGACAACGAAAGCTGAATGAAAGCGTGAGAAGCTGACGTCTTGTGATAAGACCAAGTTTGACAGCAGACTCTGCACTGTTCCGGTCGGCAATTAACGTTGGTAGACAATGCCGAGGGCAAAGAGGGTGTAGAGTGTAGCTTGAGCTCAGTTCAATCATTTAAAAGATGTTAACTATCAGTTTATGTACACAGATAACTGTGCGAGTGAAGCCATATTACACACATGTTTCAAGGAAAACATGTGAAAAGTTAGATAAGAGTGAGCGACAGTGAGCAACATTGAGTTACGAGAGAGTGAGTGGGTGACGTGAGTGAGCGAGTGACGAGTCATAAGCACACACACACACACACACACACACACACACACACACACACACACACACACACACACACACACACACACACACACACACACACACACACACACACACACACACACACACACGCACGCACGCACGCACGCACGCACGCACGCACGCACGCACGCACGCACACACACACACACACACACACACACACACACACACACACACACACTACGATCGTTCAGAGTAAAAGTTGGCGAGGTCAAAGATGTTCGTCAAGAAGTGGCAAAAAGAACACTTCACGCGCCGGCTTACCTGTCTTGTACGTCCACAGTGAGCCGAGCAGCGGCAGGCTGCGGGGGCCCGGGATGTCGGAGAAAGGTCTCGGAGACGCCCGACAGCGCACAGCCGACAAGTCGGAGACGCGGCGGTGCTGCTGCACGGAGCCTCGACCCCATCTCAGCAGGTGCCCGTGCGCCTCGATCTGCGCCGACACCGCACCGCGTCAGGCGCCGTCACCAATGCGGCCATCAACGCCCACCGGAGGCGCTGCACCATGCCCGAGCCTAGACAAAACACTGCTCTTTGGGAAATAATGACTTTTGGCTCTTAGCTGGCTCCCGTGAGAACGCTGCATACTCCGCAGACTGCTCACCGAAAGCCGAGCCGCCATGATGGTTGAGGTCCCTTCACACCCAGCTGCGGCCTCACCTCCCTCTCTGTACCAGCTCGCGACTTGGACGGGGTCGGCAGAGCAAACGTAAACAACCCGCAAACCATAGGCGTCGTCAGCGGTGAGTGGTAAGTATTGCGCCACGGCTAATTTTCCTCATCATTCTCTGTCCGGATCGCCGGGACTAAGTAGCCTTCTGACTAAAGCACGCCGGTTTTGGAGTAATAAAATATTCCCTAAATCCATCTGTGATTCTCTTTCCAGGTTCGTAAAGCTGTTTGCAATGTTACAATAAGGTATATTGTTTCCTGAAGTCGTCGCCGCTAGCGCGCGTAGTTAGTGCGTGAATCATGCTAACATTATGCGTTTCCAGTAGTTGTGATGAATATAACAAAAGTGTTAGCAGAAAACATCCCACACTGCGAACCAGGAGCGGCGCCAGGCCGCACCGCCGCCGGCGCCAGCGCCTCTCGGGATGAGGGGCAATATTTTCTGGAGGGCCAGGACGTCAACTTTCCAGGGAATCAACCATTCGCCCTTGGTGGCCCCTGGCCTATTTAACACCCGCATTGTCTTAGAGTTCTTCAAACGGTCCAAGAAAACCTCTGACTGATATTTCAGGTCATGGCCCTACAGGTCGTGATTCTTTATGTGACCTATAACCCGTCATTCCGGGCCTATTATGCTCTACAAACAGGCCCTTGATCGTCGGTTCCGTTGGGCCACCTGGGCCCCTCTTCGGACCTCATCGAACACAACCCTTGGTCGGCTCGGGGTCCCTTGCGAACACAGCAGCCTCTGTTAGGAACTGAGGGCCTAACAGAGGAACATAAAAATACAGGGGCTCCGACCAGAGTAAATTACCAGCCCCGGCTTTGTGGCTAATTGAGAAGTGGGCCGTCTTGCCCTGCCGGCACGAAGCTGACTGTGCGGTACTGATGATGTCTGACCAACATATAGAACCATATCGACTCAGAAGGCAGCCGATCTTGTCCCCTTGATCTGGACCCCTTGTCAACCCAGGGCTCCGTTAGGCGCTGTGGGGCCCTGGGGCTGGGGTCCCGATCAATGTAAATGGCTGGCTGTGGCTTTGTCCCCTGCTTGCGAAAGGGGCCCTCAGGCCAGTACCGCCACGAAGCTGACTGCGGTACTGATGATGTCTGACCAACATATAGAACATATCAACTCAGAAGACAGCCGATCTTGTCCCCTTTATCTGGACCCCTTGTCAACCCAGGGCTCCGTTAGGCGCTGTGGGGCCCTGATGGACGCTGGGGCCCCGATCAATGTAAATGGCTGGCTGTGGCTTTGTCCCCTGCTTGCGAAATGGGCCCTCAGGCCAGTACCGCCACGAAGCCGACTGTGCGTTGCTGATGGCGTCTGACCGACGTAACGCTCTCGTCGACTTAGGGCCCCTTATCAGCCGCATGACTCTCTTACTAGCATTAGAGTGCGGGCCGGAACGCCAGAATACGGCCTCCGGCGGGCCTTTAGGGCCCTTCGGGCTCTCAAATTGGGCCATTAACCGCAGGTCCCAAGGGACCCGAATCGGGAACTTAAGGATGGCCACGTGCCCCCGTGCCACCTCTCCGTGGTCTATTGCTACGGTTAAAGCCTGCGGTAAAACCGGAGGTGAAAACGATCACGTTGGTAGCAAAAGTGCAATCGTTGGTGAAATGCTTGTTTTGGCTATAATTCATCTCACGCGGTAGAAGCGTCCAGTTTCGTTATTTTTAGCAAATTTGTGGTGACCGGCTAATGGGGCGCCGTTCTTACTCGTTTTGTCCGTGATTTGTGCTTTATGCAGAGGCTCTCGGTAGGGTCTTGCGCTATTGCGCCGAACGAGCAATGTATGATACGCGTCATTATTGTCATGATTACGATGCACAGTCAACTGTGCGCGCGTCGACAGGAACACTTCTCAATATTACGTCGATGTGCTGATTCTTCCCCTATTAATGTTAAAATAGAGCCAACGAAAAAAATTCAGAACTTGAAGGTTTTCTCTGAGCTCTACATGAGCAAACTTACGTGTGAATTTCTGAAGCTTTCACACGCAGGTCCAAGCTTTCTAATTTAGCCGCCAGGTTCGTTGCTAGCGTTAAGCACACAGTGCGTGGTGTAAGATTCCCCTCTGCTTTCTAGGGCCGTTGGTATTTCCCTGACTAATGCTGATACGTGCGTGGTGCTGATCCGTGGGGATTGCAGGGGAGGAAGTGTCACCAACTGTGGTTTGAAGTGTTCATCGGGTAGGTGGTATCAAGCTCTGTTTTGGCATTTGCATGTCTTTGCCGTGACACATTTTACCAATATGGCCAGGTGCAAACACGCAGATGTAATGGGTTTCGGGCCGTCCATACATCGTGTTGACATATGAATGGGGAGGGGGCTTTGGTCGTCACCGAAACGTGTCAAAGGAGGTGGTCGAACAATGTAGCAGTTTGTTCAGGTGTGATTTCAATCATGAGTTATTTTGATGTTTCAAAACACAGGCCATGGGCTGTTGGCTGATAGCCCTGACAAGCAACAAATAAGTCTGGTTTGCAACCCAAGCTCAGTTGAGTGCTAAATGAGCACCTCCTTTTTGGCACCTAATACCTCACACAATGAAAGCAGGGTAGGCTGGTTTATTCCAGTGTAATCATTGTGTTGCAATGGGAAGGTGTTAAAATTTACTCCCCTCCCTTAAAATATGCAGCTGAAAGTCAGGACAGCCTTGAGTACCCAACAGATGTCTTTGTATAGTTCATTTAGGATTTTGTGCTGGATGGCATAAGTTTTTCTTCTATTTAATGAT